ACACACACACACACACACACACACACACACACACACACACACACACACACACACACACACACACACACACACCAAGAATCAGGGTCCAAAATGAACACTTGAAGATACTGAACATATTCGTACTCCAAATACTAGTAAAAATAAACGTGCAAGAAAATAAAATAACAATAAAATAGTAAGAAATAAAATAATAAAATAGTAAGAAATAAAATAAATACGGAGCCCCGCACATGGCATGCAGGAAAAAAATTGTAGGCTAAATCGTGTGCACGACTTACTATTTTGTTCCCTCGATTTATAAATTGTTTGCACGATTTACTATTTCGTTCCCTTGTTTTGCTAAATCGTGTACACGATTTAAAAAAATCGAGAGAACGAATTAGTAAATTGTGTGCACGATTTAGCAAATCGAGGGAACAAAATAGTAATCGTGTGCACGTTTTAGTAGATCGAGGGAACGAATTAGTAAATCATGCGCACAATTTATTTATTTTTTCTTGCATGTCATGTGCAGGGCTCCATATATAAATAATAAAACTGTAAGAATAACAAATTTGACAAATTTGACTTCCATGGACAAATTATCATCATACATCATATGCCTGTTTTTTTTTAATCCAGAACACATATGCAGAATATTTATCAAATTAAGATACCAAAAATGAAATATGAGGAACAAAAGCTAAATATGTCTTTATTAACACAATAACATATGTTGTCATATGGACAAAAATATAATTATCATAGAAAATTAAATTTTATGGCCAGTAAAAATTATTTATTCAAAATTTCACTCATTAATGGCAGGTGTGTTAAAGCTAGTTCTGCATTGGCACTATAGCGGTGTGGGAAAAAACTGTGTGCTTGTATTCATGCGTGTCTTACCCGTAGCGATGTCGTACCACATCTCTGCTGAGGCGTTCGGCCAGGTACGCTCCGATACGGTCCAGCTTCTCTGGTGCTGACACTGCATAAAAAGTCAGCTTTTCCATATCGGATTTCACCAGTCCATCCTGAGGAACAAAAAAAAAAGAACAGTAAATTGTAAAATACAACTAGAATATGACTGGAACTTTACAAGAAAACGTGTCTCTTTACCAGAAATAGCCACTTTCTGCAATAATCTTGGACTATTAAGTGTCTGTGCTGTAGATGCATTATTGTGCTGTATTCATTTATTGTTATTCTTTATTTTCCCAGTTAAAGAAAATCTCCTACTGTTGTTAAAAATGGTTCAAATAATCCTTAAATTCTGAGCAGGTTTTATAAATAATCTTATTAGCATCTTATTCTGGACTACTTTAGTTTGGAATTGTACCTAGAGATGCCTTAGTAAAAATATCTGAAATATAAATATTGTTTGAAAGTATTAAAAACTTTGATATTTACAGTGAATATTTTTATACTGAATATTTCTACTGAACTTAAAAAGTGTTATTCAACAGAAAGTATCATAAGTAGAAAATCACTTTTACCCAGAATCCCTTAAGAGAAATAAACTCCTGAAGCTCTCGAAGTGCTAATTATCTTAACACGAGTTTAACGTATGGTACGTAACATGACTGTAGGGAATCTGTCTCTCTCTGTGTGTGTGTGTGTGTGTGTGTGTGTGTGTGTCGGTGGAAACAGTCACACCAGCCCATAAGAATATTACTCACACTTCGCCTTCAGAGAAAACAATCATGTGTGTGTGTGTGTGTGTGTGTGTTTGTGTGTGTGTCACTCTAATCAACAGAGCTAAATATGAATGTGATGAATATGGAGTAACTGCAAGGTTAAAAGCCTTCCCAGTGTGTGTGTTGTTGTATATCACATTCTCAAAAACTGCTGAACTGGTCAAAGGTCAAAATTAAAGCATTAATAATATATATTCATAATAACAGTGCCAAGATATTTTTCTCCAACAGTATGAATAATGAACAGCTGCTAGTCAACGGTGCTTTAAATTTAGATTGATAGTCCAAGCAGCTTCTTTCTTATTATGTGTGGCATTTACTTAAGCTGTTCTCTGAGGACAGGAAGAGCCGATAAGAATATATTTTGATCAGCACTTGAACTTGAATGTGTCTGAATCCCAGTGCATGAACTCTGATATGAAGATGGTATTTAAAGAAGCATTTATTTAAAGCATCTGTCCAAAAACTTATGTAAATGAGCAAGACTTGTTGACTGCAGAATTCTACTGTCTCCTTGAATGAATCTATAAACAGTTTATAATGCAGATGATACAGTGAGATATTGATCAGGCCAATATTTCAGCCATTTTAAGATGAACAGCTAATATCCGTTGCCTTGTCAATGAACAAGAGTCTATCAGTTACAAAATTTATGGATAGCTTCGTCAAACGGAGATTTAAAATACATTCCAAATTTTTTTAAATATTTGAGTGAATTTTATGATTTCATAGTATATTTATCATTTGAATTTTAATAACTTTAATTCTTTAATTTCAAACAAATACGTATTTAATAATTATTACATCATAATATATAACACACTTAAAATTATTTGTAGTTATTTATTTAAATTTAGTGTATGTCTCATTTTATTATTATAAAACCAAGATATAATGATATAATGCATATATACAAGTTGGCAACCTGGAATATTCCATTCCATTATTGTAATATTCCAGAAAATCCTTGCATTTCCATCTATTCCAGGGATATGTTACCTTGGGGTCCTCTGGGAAAATGTTATCCACTAGACGCTTGTAGCGTGGCCGCAGAGGACCACAACATCCACACACACCTGTGAAAAATGAGAAGTGTTACACATACAAAAGATGCACAACCTTGGCATTTAAAGGTGGGGTAAGCGATTTCTGGTAGCCAATGTTGAC